AGAGACAATATGTGATGAACTGACTGTAACCCCCATTCCCCATCCCCCTGCGCCACTCGGAGGGAGGAGGGAGAGAAACAGGATTGAATCTGAGCCCAGGAAGAAGGCAGGGGTGGGGAAGGTGTTTAAAGATCTGGATTTATTTTCTCAATAAGCTACTCTGATTTGATTGGTGATGAATTAAACTCCCTTTTCTCCTGAAGTTCCATCTGTTTTGTCCATGACAGTAACTGGTGAGTGATCTCTCCCTGTCCTTATCTCCACCCACGAGCCTTTCATTATATTTCCTTTCCCCTGTCCAGTTGAGGAGGGGGGGTGATAGAGTGGTTTTGGTGGGTACCTGGCATTTATCCAGGCCAAACCAAAACATATCTGGAACGCTACTGGTAATGTTAAAGCTTTCTTAGAAAAAAAATTTCATTATGTTTCTTTGACGAACTATGGCTTTGTCAACTTATTTTCATGTCCCCTAAATGCCTGGAAGAAGCCAAACACATCCACTAGACCATTCACTTACTCAGGTTCCTGTATTGACCCTCCAACACAATGGAATCTCTCGGGAACAGTCTTCCAGTCTTTCGCCATCTTAACCATTGCTCCTGCATCTAGGACACCATAGCCAAACAAATGGTTGAATTCCAGCCCAACGCCATTTCTACGCCATTGATGAACCTCATCATGAAGCTGGTTCCTCTTGGAGGTGAGCACTGTCAGATGCTGCATGTCTCTCCATGTCAGATCCAAGCTGTGGAAAAGTAACATGGAAAACAAACAGCACAGTCTTTCCAAGCACATACTAAAGACAGACAGTGTGTTTAAGTAAGCCTTTTGGTAAAATTTCCTTCTATGAATCACACATATCAATAACAAAGCATCTGTTTATTTCAGTGGGAACAATGGTTTTAATTGTATACTTAATTGTATAGTAGTTCCCCAAAAGATATTCCCCAAAATTACAAAGTAATTTCTCATTGTTTCCCAACAACAACTTTCAACTACACATTATAGATACATCATGCAATTTTTAAACTAGGAAAATGCATAGAATATTATGTGAGGTCCTGAAAATAATACAAAAAGAAAAGGACAAGGACCGAATTTTGTCTAGCCTTCCTCTTAAATCTTGCCCTCTTTGCCTTGCCTGCTCCTCCTGTTTTTCCCATGGATCTTCCAAGATTTACCAAGAGAAGCCCCAATCTGATAAAGTTGATGAGCTGTAACAATCAAGTTGTTACTAATTTCAGTGTGCTATAAATATGGATATATGGGCTGTGGGTGGCTGTAGGTTTGCATATAAGGTATGGTAGAGATTTGTCATCCATTATATACTAGCATGGATGGATGCAGTAAAGTAACATTTGTCTAGATTCAATGATGATTTTTCATCATCAGCTCTTGTTTGCAGTGATTATAATGACAGGAAGGGCACTTGTAAGTTATTATTCTGGAAGCTTTAGAACTGACATTCTAGTTCTACATAACTAAAGCTATCCAGTTGTTTTATGATGATCTCTTTCAACATTACAATGTGTCTGATTCAAACCATCAACCTAAAAGGATTCACTTTTCAGCTATCTGTGCCCCAAGTAATAAGCATGTGTGCATAGTGAACATGCAGCAGAATAGCCAATTACTGTCATTTTTCCAAGGTGACACAATCTGAAAACCACTTGCATCATTCTTATTGAATTTTTAAGAGCTCCTAGATATCTTAAAACTGGACTTTCCATATCACAAATTGGTCTGGTTTTAGAGACATGTCAGACATACATTGTACATGAGCCAACAGACATATTGCGAGCAAGAGGAGTCTGCATGGGAGATTGTTAGCCATTCCCATAAGGGCTACTGTAATTCGTCTAGGGTAGTTCTGCACAATACAATTTAATAGAACCAGTCTGGAAAAGGATAGGAGATACTGGCAGTTCTTTCTCTCCCCTGCCACTTTCTCAGCAAAGGCTAGAAACTCAACTGCAAACCAGGGTTATTAGTCTAATTTCTACTCCGATAGTTTGGAAGGAGTAACTCCAGTCTTCATGGATAGCTCAAATGAAGAGGAAACATAATTATTACTGAGATATTAAAGTTGTAGTCCAGGTTAAACATGCAGTGGTCAGAAAACTCATTAAACCTTTATATTTAAATGGCCATATTAATTTATTACATGGTGGCTGTCCCACTGAATGAATTTGATAGTAGAAGGCATGATCATCCAAAGTTAAACACTTGGCATGTGTGTTTTACGTGTATAAAACCTGAAAAATGAAACTTGGCCCAGGTCATGCTCTGAGCATAATAATCATTGCTCTGCTAATGACAGAAACTTTGTCTGCTCTGCCAAATCTTCATTCTTCTGCATACTGTTGAAGAAAACTATGTATACAGTATTCACTTCATGCCATGGTTACAGCAACTGAAGCTGTATACCTGAGCAAATGTTGCCTCACTTCATGAAATAATTTAACACAAAGTAAAAAGATAGTATAGGTTATTATAAGGAAAACTTTTCTTAATTATTAGAGAAGAAGATAATGAAACAAGATATACAAGAGGGCTCCAATGTCGTGAACAGCATGTAGATGGTAAATAGACAATGGGTATTTATTTTTTCACAAAACAGAGCAATTACGTAGCACAGAAGCAAATTACCATCAATGTGTTAAGAAAAAACAGAGGAAATATTTCCCACCACCATCACAAAAAAATATTATTACTGTGGAACTGATTGCCACTGGATGACACAGGTGCCAAATACAGACAAGTTGAAAAAGGCTTAGACAAATTCAAGGAAGATAAAATTGCCTGTGGCTACTAAACAGGACAGGCTGACTGCTCTCTCCAAACCACTGATTGCCAAAACTGTTGTTGAAAGATCACTGTTAATCCTCATTTGTTGTACTCTCCCCTAAGCATCTGTCATTGCAGACAGTATGTGGCACAAGATGAACTCCTGTCTGATATTGTAGGACTATAGGTTCGTCCTTACATTTTCACAGGCTAGGCATTCCACACTGGATATGTGGAGAAATGAAATAACCTCTCCCTCCAAACAGTGCTCGAGAAGACAAACCCTTGGAAGAGATGGAGAGGACACAGAGAAAGTGAATCAGCCAAAATGTATCTGCTATATGGCTTTGGCAAGACTGTCACTCCATCTGTGAATTACCATGCATGTAACTACTGTAGGAGGCAGCTCGTTAGCTGCTTGTTCTGGCCCTGTGCCACAGACAGCCAACTTGTATGATGAACAACATTTAACAAACCGCAGACCCTCTCTTCTCTAGAGCTCACAAGGAATTTCTCAACAGCATACTTAGCTTCCAGAGCCAGGGCAAAAACTCCGGCTGCTTCAGGGGCAGCTGCAGACGTTCCTGAGTGACGCAGCGTGCAGTTGCCATACAAATCCGTTGTAGCCTGCAATGATATTAGATGTAATTAATGAAACTAACTAGTCCATTTTCCTTGCAGCTACAGCCTCGGAAAAATACAGAAACAGGAGTTTGTGACCTTGCTCTTTAGAGTAATTATGTTTGTTCCTAGGATTTGTTTTCTTCTTTAGAATAGTGTATCAATTTAAAAACACAATGAGACATAGTTACACGTGTGAATGCAAGAATAAATTGTGATGTAGAAAAGCAATGTTCATTACCACGTACAAGTCATAAACTCACATGGATGTAATTTATTTCCTATAAACACAGTTTCACCAAAGGCCTTAAATTCCCCTGTGATCATTGGAAGGATTTGAAACTAAAATTGTTAGCAGTATTGAGCTTTCTAACATTTGTACAACTCCCTAACCAACAGCAGTACCAAGCTGCGATCTTCTATGCAGACTAGTTACTAGAAGACACCAGAAGGAAACCTCAGAAGTACATTCTATGGTGATAATTACAAAGGTGCCACAGATTGTCTTGGCTGATATCAGCACAGAGCTGAGATCAAGACAGAAACCAGTATTTTTCCGTCTGCCTACTGCTCAGGGGCATTTAGGATGCTACAATGTGTCTTTGAGTTTGAGACAGGGCAAAGGAAAACGCACAGAGGCTTGTGGCAAAGACTGACCTTGAGTTATTACACCTGAATTTTCCACTCTCTGAATTAGACTATGTCCTGACTAGTGTGAGGGTGCTGAAGAGCAGTGATGAGTACAGGGGAAGAGAACCCAGTTACACTTGAACAGAAACTGCATATTTTCCAGTTGTAGGTACAGCCCTGCGTGGGACTTGAGTATGATATGCTGCACTGCTCAATAGGAGACTGAGGGTGATCTGAACCCCCACATTGCCTCTGTAGGTGACTGAATGTCTTTCTGCTCTGTGCAGCTCATAGTATAGCAGAAGTCTGCTTCGTGACTGCTCTCCTGGAAAATAAAGTATGATCTCAGATGTCAACATTTTTCATTTAGATTTCTACAGAGACCTTTTGTCACACTGTCCTCTGGAAAGAGCGCAATTGAACTTCGTAATCTGATTTCTGACAAAGAAAAGCACCAATTATATGAAGCTATAAGAGATGGAAGATCATTGCTGTTCTCAATAGTAATCCCACATCTTCTCAGCTGACAGCTTTGGCATGATCACATACTGCAGATGAGAAAATAACCGTATGCAAAGGACCATCTGCTGCTCCAAAGCAGAGGGAGTTGTAATAGGTAGTGTAAGTGCACAAAGACAGCAGCAACAACACAATAGTATCTGAACTCACCACGCCAGCCTCCGGATTTCTCTTCCTCCCATTACTAAAGGTGGAGGCTAAGGTTGAAGAGCAGCTTTCATCATAAAGAGCTGTCCGTCCATCATTTATAGCAGAATTGATAGAGATTGTCCACATGCTCGATGCATAACCATCACAATTACAGTCATCATAGCTGCCCCCATCTCCAGAGGCCCAGACATAGATGCTTCCCTTGCTACCCCGGCCCTGTGAAAGGGGAAAATCGACCCTCTTGGGTTAAATTGCAAATAGGAGATAGCAGCTATTTTAAAATACACATCTAATTGTAAAGCTAGGCATCTATAAAGAAGAAAACTGGTCCAAACAACGTATACATCAACCTTAATCTGAAATAACATGGACTTCTGCAGGTTATTAAATCCAGTTAACTGGCAGCCACAGCCAGTTCTGCAACCTTATGTACATAGGGCTCTTCCATTTATCTCCTATTTTGCTTGACGCCTCGAAGGCTCCTGTGCTAGGTGCTAAGACATTTTATGGATTCATTAGCGTTTCTGTCAAGGTCTAAGTGCTGTAAGGAAAGCATTAAGCATTCTTTTAAAAGGCATACAGGTCATCTCATACACTGGGTTTGTAAGATGCAATTGGGTTCAGTCAATGGCTAAAAAATGCTGTAAACCTGGCACCTTTTTCTCTCAATTGATGTTTTTCCAAAGTTGTCACTGACTCATAGCTGTTTTTCTGACAAACCAGCTTCTACTACTAAGCAGAAAAGAAAGTTATGAGACCACATAAGTCCTCTACAGAAAGATAATCTACCAATTACACTGGGAAGCTGAGAGATCGACGGAGAGGCTGAGGCTGAAGGGCAGCTATAAAGGCTTCCTCTTAGTTAAAGGAAAGAAATCCATATCCTTTCCCCAACTTCCAGATAAGCAAGGAGTGGGAAGGGATCAACTCAGCTCCTTCTTCTCATCCCATTTGACAAAAGGTGTAAAGGCTGCCTGGAAGAAGGTGACACCTGAAAACCATGACACTTAGGGAAAGATCAGTGCTACTGAACCCAAAGCTCAGATCTCCCACTGATTCCAGCACAGCCACCATTTCTCTCTGTGTTTAGTCTAATATAAACCAACATTTACATCCAATGGCACCAGAAGGGTGCAAGGCCTCAACTTAACATACTGTTATATGCACTGGGCAGAAGGTAAGAAAAAAATCTCTTCTACCCTCTTCATTATCGAGCATGAAATGGAAGCTAAAGAACATTCAAACATAGCAATCTGCAGTGGCATTTTAATAGGGAACTGTTTCTGCCAGGATTTTAAATCAAATCTGAGCTCCCAGCAGTAGCTTCTATTTTTCATCACACCCCACTGAACACAGCAACCTCATTATTTCAAGCACATTAGTGAGTTGCAGTATAATCCACTGAATTGCACAGCAGTTTTGCTGCCACTTGGGTGCATAACATCTCAGGACAGAGATTTTCATAATAAAGATGATGACTACAAAAAAACGCATTGAAATCAGTCTAAGACCTCCCACAAATATCTGAGATGAATCATTTGAGTTTTAAGGGAGGAGGATATTGTTGCAAAAAATATATACTCTAAGAACAAGATAACTCCAGGAAATTATTTTAAGAAAATAAAAAAGATTAGCATAATAAGAACAGTTATGCCTTTCTTCCCTTTGACCATTTCCATATCCCACCATGTGCTCTGACTGCTGTTAGACTACAGGGCCCAACCCTAGGCTTTGGACTCACTTCAGAGGCTACATCCCAATCTTGCCATCATGCCCACATACACCATCACTCCACCTTGCCACCACCTGTCTCCTTTGAACAGCCTCCATGGCAGCCCAAGCACATCTCTGTCCCCAAAAGGCAGGCTGCTGCCCAATGCAGAGAGCAGGTGGCTGCTGGTGCCAGGAATAGGACATTTGGTGTATACAGGCCCATTCTTAACCAACCCTTTCCTTCTAGCCATTCTAAAGAGAGGGGAAACACTATTTTCACAAGATAAATTCACAAAAGTAGCTTGGTGCCTGGAAGTTAGACTCTGCAGCATTCAGCATGGGGAAGCAGACAGCCCTGCTTGGCAAATTGTTCCATGATGCTAAAACTGGATATTGCTGTGAAGTGTTTCACCCCATGGGTGGGATTGAGAAGGGGGAATCCACGGAGGAGCTAAAATTTGAGCTCGAGTTCATGGGTAGACTTAGCCTGCTGAGTGCTGCTGGGGATGGATTTTCTGCATGTAATTACTGTAATGTGAGAATGGCCTCAGGATATCACCTCTATGAGAGTCACATACACCAGCATCGCTTTGCGTTAAAAAAAGTAATTCACCTTTTAATACACTAATTTTAATTGTCTTTCCCTTTTAGGCAGGACTGGAAAGAGGAGCAAACACTATTGGAATAAACTAATAGCAGCCCAAGTGCATTATTTGCAATGATCCTTAGGACTTGCTGCTTGCATTTCCCACAACCAGGCCTGCAGGAGTTGGATAGTTTGCACAGTCAGACTGTTTGCTGGCTGTACTCAGGCATCATTCTGTTTACCAGGCAGAAATATATGGCTTCAGGGGAAGTGAATTTTCAATTGCCTGGATGGTAGTAGTCTAAACCAGAAAAATCCCAGTTGGGTCAATTAAGTGTCGTTTTTAAAGTGAACTGAAAGCTCCTATTTGCATCTCAACATCATACGAACCTAAAAAATTTCAGTGGTGTCACTCAATTTAGGCTGCTGTAAATTTAGGCCAAAAACAGGATTGGAGAAGTTGGTAATAATACACACTACAAACACCAGAGGAAGCCTGAAGGAAGAGTCAGGAAGAAGAGAGAAGACTAGAACAATAATAAGACACATTTTAAAGAGTTATCTCTTCTTCAGAATCCTGTTGAAACCTGCTCATTTCCTCTAAAAGTGATGCACAGCATTGCACCCACACTTCTGAGCCATCTGAAGCTGTATCTGACTCAGATGAAAATGGATCTCGGTGCATTTAGTACTAGCACCAGAGAGGCCCACCTCTCAATTCAAGCTAAACCAGAACTAGATCTTGGGCAAAGATACATGCTTAGAAAGTCACAGCTACTGAGAAGCTCTCTTTGCAGAAACAGCAGATTTTCTATTTCCAGTATTCTGGTGGGATGTTGTGCTAGCAGCAAAAAATATCCCTGAGAAATTTTATTGCTCCTTTTCTCATCTTCCAAAGAATATAATCCCAGGAAAATTTCTTTACTGAACTACCCTGTGACAGTGAGTTGGCAGGGGACTGCAGTCTAACTCACTTTATGCAACTTCAAGCGTATCTTCAACCTTTTTTTTCCTGTTATTGTGTTCACTCATCATGCTTGCTGGGCTAGTGTTTCTCAAAGTTTTGACTTCTGGATCACACTATCCTGATGAAAATGGGTGGTATTTGACAAATAAATCTCCTCCAGCTTCCCTGACTTCCCATCAAGGCTGGCAAGTGACCCTGTGAATAACAGCTGGGACTGTAACATGGCACAGCCTCTGCCTTGGCTCCTTTAGTTCACTTACTCCCGCCTGGTCATCGGGGTTGCTAAAGATTGATGGGAGGAACATAACAGTCTTTACAGCACGTTTTTGATGCCATTCAGCTTTGCTCTAATCCTTCAGTCATACATCAGGACTAATAGTTTCCAAACAGTACAACCTAATGATAAAAAAACAGATATCCAAAAGAAATGCGGTAAAATGAAAAGATATTACATGCGATGGTGGCCAAATTATGAATCGGGTGATGGGGTGCTATGGCCAGAAAATGCATTGTTGCAGTTTACTTTGTATAGAAATCCAAGTGTTCAGAAAAAGTGTAAATTAGAAGATGTGTTGATGCCATATATTGAAAAGTTATGCAAAGATGTATGTGAGCAGTGGGAGTCTGCTTCTAAGATTGCTTTAACTTTGTCTCTTCAGCTGTTTTGATTTAGTTAAGCCAGGGAAGGTAAAGCATGATAAGAGTGTATCGGGTAAGTTACTGTTCATCACTGCCACAGTAATCTGATAATTAGTCTGTCTTTACTTTTATGGTCTGGTTCAAAGAATCTGAACTAGACAGGTGTTTTTCATTTGCTCCTAAGAGTAAACTTCAGTTTTGTTCTCTTGCTATTTGTTGAGAAGGAGGGAATTGATAGTCTGTGGTTTTTGTACTCTGTATAGAGTAACAGAGCTAGTCTTTAAAGATTTGCAGCAGAACTTTATTTCAGTTTAGACCTTTTGTAGGAAAGTTGTGCAGTTTGTGTCCACAAAGCGCCTCCTGGATAAATTTGGCATTTTTGTGTCAGGGAGGAAAGAAAAAAAAACCCAACACAACACACAACACAAGTATCTGTATGTTGTGCAGGGGATGAGCAGGAGAAAGAAATTGCAAAAAAAGTGGATGGAGTAGTAGGAATGTCTATATCTCAACTGACAGAAATAGTTTAATTGGGATGAAACAGAGAAAAGGAAAAACAAAGGGAGAAATTAAAAGATAGGAAGCTGCAGGCTCCATTCTAGCTACGGCAATTGTGGAGAACTTGGCAAGAGGCAGAGGCCAGGGCTGGAACCCTGGGCCTATGCTTGCTGTAAATCACCCACTAGGATTAAAATCAGTGTGTATCCTGTAGGGAGGAAGGACATTGGAAAAACGAATGCCCAAAGAAGAAATTGATTACCCAAGGGGCGTCTATACAGGAGGCTGATCTGACAATATTAGGAATTTCAGATTCGGATTGATGGGGACCAGGGGAGAACAATAAAATTCCCCAGCTGATCCTCTGGTTCCAGTTCAGAGAATGAAATTATAGATTTTCTGATAGACACAGGGGGCCACTCATTCTGTAGTGAGTAGTTGCAAGGGATCTTTAAGCAATATGTATATGCCTGTTGTTGGGGTCACGGGAAAGTGAGCTTTGAAACCATTTCTGAAACTGATGGAATGTAAAATTGGAGGTAAAGCGGTATCTCATGAGTTTCTCTATATGGCACCCTCCCCCATTCCTCTTTTAAGGCTATGTTTACTCTGTAAATCAAGAGCATAAATAACCTTTTCTGATAAATCAATACAGTTACGTCTACCAAAAGAAAATGCCTAGAAAACACAATTTTGCTTATTGACGACAAAATAATAGGAGGATATCAACGTCCTTGAGGGGATCCTGGATGCTGTGATACCTACAGTATGGGCAACCAAGAGACCGGGAAGAGTGAAAAATGCTGTACCGGT